AAACACATAGAGGTAAAGTAGATGGTAACACAGTGGGTAGCGGAAGGACTGTAACAACGACACCCCTTCTGCGTGCGGGAGTAACCAAGAAATACACATTTGGTAGCTCGAGGGACAAGTTTGTCAAACCCAGAACCCAAATTGTGAACATAACAGACACATCTAAAAATCCTAGGAGTTAGGAAAAATAAAGGCTTACCAGGAAAAAGGATAGAATATGGATTTTGCCCATTTAACACAGAGGATGGCATACGATTAATAAGATGACAAGCAGTAAGAACAACATCACTCCAAAAATATCAGAGAATATTCATCTGGAATAACAGGGCACGGGTGACTTCCAACAAATGACGGTTCTTGCGTTCAACAACATTATTCTGTGGAGAGGTATAAACAAAAGAAGTCTGATGAATAATGTCATTTTTACTAAGATAAGCTGAAAAATGATCATATTCAGATTCTCAAGCATTATAGAACGTAAAATACGGATACGACACCCATATTGAGTTTTTATTTCCTTATGAAATGTCTCAAATATAGAGAATAATTCAGACCGAGCTTTCATTAGAAACAACCAAGTCACACGAGAATAGTCATCCACAAATGACACAAAATAAGGATATTTATTAGATGAAATATTCTTTATTGGACCCTATATATCAGAATGTACCAACTCAAATGGACTAGGCATACGATTATTGACTCGAGACTGAAATGACACAATAAGAAGGATAAAAGATTACAGAACAATTGAGAGAACGAGTAATCTTGCAAATGAAAAGTAAATTAAAAGGAAACTGAGGAACAAATAATACGGAAGATAGGGACATATCAGGACTCAAGTTAGTAGTCCCCAAACCTGAAAATTTAGAACAAGTGTCATTAGCAAGAGTAACACTACGAGTGGAGANGGTGCCTAGAGGTACCCCGTCCTGGACGCCTCCCCTGCTCCAGGATAAGTTATTGACGTACAGGTCATTAGCCTAGGCTAGTCTAGGCTATTCATCATGACCTCGTCGTACACAATTAGTGTCAGAACGTACAGGAATGCAGGGGCCACAGTCAATGGGGGATGAACGCGTGGCATATGATGTCACATCAAAGNATCAGACGCACCAGTCATGTGATGATCAGAAGCGCCAGAGTCTATGATCCAGGGACTGCAATTGGAGGATAATAAACAAGAGCAATACCTGATTGGGCAAAAGTAGCAGTGGAGAGAGATGGAACAGACTGTTGCTGAGATAGGAACTGGGCNTTGGGAAAACAAACGATTAATTACACCATTCCCTTGACGAGACTGCATTCAATGCGGTAAGGCTCGAAAATGAAAGGCAATAAATGTTCCTAATACAGGGCATTTATTGCATCCTCCCCGAGAGGAGTTCATTGTACCGTCANGCATACTCCTCTCGAGTAATAGTAACCAATCCAGTGTCTTGCTTGGATTCCATAACAATGCAGCAAATAACAAAGAGTGCTGCAATACTGAACCAGAAGAAAAGACAGAGGCTGAAGGCCTAAACCGAATAGAATCAAACCTGATGAGGTTGTTTGAAGATTGAACCGGACCACAGGAGCACTGNTCATTACGGGGAGTAAGCGCCCCAAAGACGTTGGATCATTGCTGACCCTCGGACGTAAGGAATCCGAGACTCTTCGCCAGTACGCCATTCGATATTGGGAAGAGGTTAATGAGGTAGAAGGCTGCTCGGAAGTCATGGCAGCAGCATCTTTCCGGCTCGGCTTGNCAGTGCGCACACTGCCTGTACCTAATGATCACCTACTGACTACACTGACAGCAATCATGAGCTTTTGAGGTATAAATACTCCTTGTAAAAGGCAAGACGGTATGCCACAAAAAACTCTTTACTATAATACACACTCAGTGTTTTCTTCTTCCCCTCCCTCTCTCAAAGACTGACTAGATCGTCANAATGGAGCACTGAACCGGGCCGATTTGCTTGCTGGAGCGCTGAACCGAGCCAATTTTGCTTAATGGAGCACTGAACCAGGCCGGTTTTGCTTTGCTGGAGCACTGAACCGAGCCGGTTTTGATTAATGGAGCACTGAACCGGGCCGGTTTCGCTTGCTGGAGCGCTGAACCGGGCTGATTTTGCTTGATGGAGCACTTAACCAGGCCGGTTTTACTTGATGGAGCACTGAACTGGTTTGAAATTAGTCTGAACCGAACCAAACAATGGATTGGGTCAGATTTGGGTTGACCCAAAGTGGATCGGGTCAGGCTATGTCTTCTTCGATGGTTAGGGTTTCAGAAAACCCACTTCCTACAACTACGCCACGCCACACCACGAACCAAATACGAACCACCACGACAACCACGNGCTGGAGCACTGAACCGAGCCGGTTTTGATTAATGGAGCACTGAACCGGGCCGGTTTTGCTTGCTGGAGCGCTGAACCGGGCCGATTTTGCTTGATGGAGCACTTAACCAGGCCGGTTTTACTTGATGGAGCACTGAACCGGTTTGAAATTAGTCTGAACCGAACCAAACAATGGATTGGGTCAGATTTGGGTTGACCCAAAGTGGATCGGGTCGGGCTATGTCTTCTTCGATGGTTAGGGTTTCAGAAAACCCACTTCCTGCAACTATGCCACGCCACACCACGAACCAAATACGAACCACAACAACCACCACAGACAACCACGAATCGAACACGAACCACCACAACAACCACCACAGACCACGCCTCCAACAACAACGAACCACCACAACAGCCACCACAGACCACGNCGCCCTGCCCGTGGGGAAAATCACATTGTCAGTTGTCACAGGTCCCTTCGTCATCAACACCGAGTTTGTCGTGATCGATACGGACTCTTCCTACAACGTGATTATGGGGCGAACATAGCTGCATGCGTTGGCNACAACCACCACAGACAACCACGAATCGAACACGAACCACCACAACAACCACCACAGACCACGCCTCCAACAACAACGAACCACCACAACAGCCACCACAGACCACGCCGACGATGGACCACCACAAAACCACAGTCACACCGCCACGACCACAGCCGCCATACAACGGCAAACAATACAGTAGCACCACCACGATGAACAGTACAACACCACCACAACAGTAGCACTTCTACGAACAAAATTTATTCAGAATATATATTTATGATCGTACATAGCTCAGATACCATGTTAAGTGTAAAGAATTAACACAATATTAGAGAGCAACAGAGATAGGTTAAAAAAACATAACCTAGCTCTCATACATCACTTNTCGGAAGGTGCCCTTGGTGGAGGGAGAAGAAGAGAGGTATTTCTTAGTTGGGACCTCGATACCCACAGCCGAATNGATAGGTTAAAAAAACATAACCTAGCTCTCATACATCACTTGTATTTATAGTTAACTCACAATAATAAGAATTACACATAATACCCTAACACTGTTAATAANTAAGGGGAAATACAGACGTGTTTGCGTGGAACGAGATGGAAATGACGGGTGTAGACCCCGAGATAATTACACACAGGCTGCATGTTGATCCGTCGCACAAGTCAGTCAAACAGAGGCCACGACGCATGGCCAAGCATCACGCTNAACTTACACATACTACCCTAATACTCTTAACAATGGGTAAGATAGAGATTCCTCCAAAGAACTATCCCTCTGTACAGTAATAATAAAATATCATTCTTCCTCACTAAAGTTGTCTTAGATGTCCTNAACTTACACATACTACCCTAATACTCTTAACAATGGGTAAGATAGAGATTCCTCCAAGGAACTATCCCTCTGTACAGTAATAATAAAATATCATTCTTCCTCACTAAAGTTGTCTTAGATGTCCANACAAGTCAGTCAAACAGAGGCCACGACGCATGGCCAAGCATCACGCTAGTGCGGTCAACGAGAAAATCGACAAACTCCTGAAGGCCGACGCCATTCGAGAGATACAGTTCCCAGAATGGCTGTCTAATATGGTATGCGCGAAGAAGAAAGANCTGTTGATTACTTTGGATATTGGGTATGTAAGGATGCTGAAGTGTTCCCAGGTAATTGAAGCACATATTTCTTCTGTAGGTGTTTATTGCGCCATGACTGTTATGGTTAAGACGTCAAGAGTCGGTCGGCAACTAACCATGCCGTTGTAGGCAAACCATGCGGTGTTAGTTAGTTACAGTTAAATTAAATCCTTTTTCACGAAAAGGAACAATTTTAATAATTACTAGTTTGGAATCTTGGGTTGGGTTGTGTTGGTTAGTGCCATTCTTAATCTGTACAAATTCATATGCGGGGGNAACGGAGAGTTTGAGACAAGGGACCCTAGGATGAAGGCCTACCATCACCAGGCGACAACTGTAATCCGAAGGTTCGGCCGGATTAAAATCAAACAAGTGTCCCGAGACAAGAACACACATGCCGACGCCCTAGCTTGTCTAGCCTCGGCAGTGGATTCCTCCCAATCGCGCAGGATCACCATTGAATATCTTCCCGCGNAAGACTGATGAATCGGATGTTCAAAAAGCAGATCGGCAACACCATGGAAGTCTACATTGACGATATGCTGGTGAAGAGGAAACGGAGTTGTGATCATCTGACAGATTTGGTGGATACCTTTTCCACCCTCAGGGAGTATGGGCTGAAGCTGAATGCGACAAAGTGCATTTTCGAAGTGGAATCAGGTAAATTCCTCGGGTACCTGGCNGTGTGCGGGGGTGGCTTGTTTCTTAACCACTCGGGTAAACACATCTTGCTTAATGCCTTATATGCTTTGTCTAGCCATGAATCCACATTTTTTGATTTGGCGTGGCAAACAAATATAATTTTTCCGACAAAAAACTTAAGTTGTAACCTAATTGCTTATTCTGTTTTTAAAAGAAATTATTCTTTTCCATGCATTTGCATCGATTCACCGCTGATTCTCTAGAAATTGCAATCCACATTTCACAGTCGCAAAACCACCATGGTCCATAAAGATATAGCCAATACAGGATGTCCTCACAGGCACAACCCAGGAAACTAGTAAGCATGTACACAGACTAAATTCAGCGACGCAATAGAAAGTTTTACCTTAAAGCTATAACCTTGATCAATTAAAAACTGTTGCCTTTTAGTTGAGTAGTACATTTCCTGCCACCAACATGAGCAATTTAGCAAATAATATTGTACACAAGTGACGACCTACATAAGTATTGATTTCTGGCATTAACTCGAGATATTAAGATGTTTGCGAATTTTAAATAAAGTTGGCAAGCAAAAGAAAGGCATACCTGAGTATCTGTAGACACAAGGGAGTAGAAAAATGCATTGAACTCCTCTTTACCACCAGCCATCCTATCCTGAGGTCGACCCTGTCAAACAAATAACAAAATCAACAAAAACAACAATTGTTACGTAATGAGCAAAAAAATTCACCCGATGGCATTCTATCATAGTTAAAGGTAGATGATCCATACAGGAAAGAAATATAATCAATCATGCTAATCTCCAAATTGCTGCCACATTTTTGGAGACTAATCAAAAGCTGCCCTTAAATTTTGACAACTACTAGTAGCTTCCAAATTTAAGACATACATAGTTTCAAGGACTAAATAGACATCATTTCCATAATAGGTATTGATGGGACTTTTCTGAAATACTCCATGATGAAGACACGTGTCCTCGGTATTACCAAAACACTGTTGCTAAGATCAAGTACCATCGGCTCACAAAGGTCCCTCGCTCCCGAGGTACTCGTCATATGGGATCATGGCATTCAGTACGTTTTACAACCGACACGTAGCCTCGGTCTGATATGGTACCTCGGTCGGTATACCTCCCTCGGTTCCGAGATGAGCCTTTCCTCGGTGCCGAGAGGTACCCCGTCCTGGACGCTTCCTCTACTCCAGGATAAGCTATTGACGTACAGGTCATTAGCCTAGGCTAGTCTAGGCTATTCATCATGACCTCGTCTTACACAATTAGTGTCAGAACGTACTGGAATGCAGGGGCCACAGCCAATGGGGGATGGACGCGTGGCATATGATATCACATCGAAGACAGAGAAACCGCATGCCGTTGCTGACACGCGACTTGGGAAAGCAAACGATTAATTACACCATTCCCTTGATGAGACCGCATTCAATGCGGTAAGGCTCGGAAATGAAAGGCAATAAATGCTCCTAATACAGAGCATTTATTGCATCCTCCCCGAGAGGAGTACATTGTACCGTCGGCATCCCGATGACCCAGCATTGATTGCTCGGGACCCCGAGCAGTTAAGAAGAGAAGACATTCCTCATCAGAATCAGTGCGCACACTGCCTGTACCTAATGATCACCTACTGACTACACTGACAGCAATCATGAGCTTTTGAGGTATAAATACTCCTTGCAAAAGGCAAGACGGGTATGCAACAAAAAACTCTTTACTACAATACACACTCAGTGTTTTCTCCTTCCTCTCTCTTTCTCAAAGACTGACTAGATCGTCGGAGGGGATACGCCGGAAAACACTCCGGCGCCCTTCTAACTTGTTCTTCTTTGTTCCAGGAACCTCTTTCAGCCTTACTGGATCGTTCTTCCGCTCCCCCAGGGTCTCCCGTTGCCGTTCCAGGTTACCACCGGACCTCGCAGGCTGTTCCAAGCAGCGTGGTTGGTCACTCAACTGGCTCACTCGAGTTCACCAAGGGAGAGATCTGTTCTCGTTTTTTATATTGTGCAGGATCTTGCACGCACAATCTGGCGCCGTCTGTGGGAAACGACTAGTTTTCCTAGTTTTTTCTCTATAAAGAACAGTGACCATGGTGAACACTCGACAGAAAGGGAAAGGACCCCACCAAAGGAGTCTCGAGTTACAAGCTCCCTGTCATCACGGAGGAAGGGATCACACCGATATGAATAAAAGTGCCTCTACTCGGTCAAGAGGGGTTACCCCTCAAACCAGTATGGGAATCAGGTCAGGGGGATCAGCCCCCTTGGCTCGTCAGCTGGCGGAGGTGATTGAAGAAAAGTTTGGCGATAGATTACGACAGCTGGAAAAGGACAATGTAAACGTCCTAAGCCGGCTCAACGAGTTTGCCGCCTCTGGCGAAGGGTCGAGGGATTCATTCCTTTCTCGTGGGCTTCCCGCCCGGGAGGCAGAAACGAAGGATCTAAGAAACCACCTAAACAACAAAGCAGAAAGCTCTAGGGCCCCAAAGCGACCCAGAGCCGGCGAGCATCATCATGACAACCATTCAAGGAAAGCAAGGCCATTGGCCCTAGACGACCTCCGGCGAGGTTTGTCTAGACGGAGGAAGGGAGATGAATCCGAGGAGGACTCAACCCAATCCACACGACGCCCAGGAAATGAGGGGCTTACCGATGAACTCAAGGACTTCAGAAGGCATCCCGTCAGGGAAGAAATTGATCTCAGAGCCCGGTTAGACTCCAGGAGAAAGGGTAAGGCTGTCCAGGATGAGGCCGAGGACGAAGTCATACAAACACCCTTTACGAGGGAGATCGGTGAGATGGAGGTTTCAAGAAAGTTTGTCGTGCCGCGGTTCAAAACTTATGACGGGCGGTCCGATCCCGAAGCCCATGTCAGGCAATACAAGCAGATGATGTCCCTCTATCATTCGGACCAACGGTTTCTCTGCCGAGTGTTTCCTATGAGCTTGGGGGACTCTGCGATGAAGTGGTTCGAGGCGCTTCCCCCCAACAGTATTGGGTCCTGGAAGGAATTGACTAAGCAGTTCCTGGCTCGATTCATTACGGGGAGTAAGCGCCCCAAAGACATTGGATCATTGTTGACCCTCAGACGGAGGAAATCCGAGACTCTTCGCCAGTACGCCATCCGATACTGGGAAGAGGTTAATGAGGTAGAAGGCTGCTCGGAGGTCATGGCAGCAGCATCTTTTCGGCTCGGCTTGGCAAGGGACACGGACCTGTACCGATCCCTGACCAAGAAGACTCCCTCGGATATGGGGGAACTAATGGCCCGGATAAACAAATACTCGAGGGTTGAGGACGAGATGGGAAGCAGCAAAGGCCGAGCCCTCCAATCTAAGAGAAAAGAGAAGGAGCGGGAAGATATTCCCCGAAAGGGATTGCTACCCCCTCCAGGGGGTTCGTCCAAAGGAGTTCACACTGTGTTCAAGGAACCCATCTTCAAGTTGCTCCATAAAATCAAGCACGAGCCGTTCTTCAAATGGCCGCCCAGGATGCAGAGCGACCCCTCCACCCGTGATCAAAAGGTTAGGTGTTCCTATCACCGGGATTTCGGGCATCGCACCGAAAGCTGCAGGGTGTTCAAATCGTTCTTGGAAAGATTGGTCCGAGACGGATATTTGAAAGAGTACATAGAGCCCAGGCCAGAAGAGAGACAAGCCCTTGCCCCGACCGAGGAGCCGGACAACATCATAGATGTCATCCATATATGTCCCCTGGATCGCCCCACGTCCAAGGAACTCGAGTCCGACCTCAAGAGGGTAGCTTTTACGAGGAAGGTAGCCGAGGTTGATGTAGGGCCACCAAGTAAAAGGGCCAGGACGGGTGAGCTTGGCATTACATTCTCCGACGCGGATTTGACAGGCGTAGTGACTCCTCATAACGACGCCCTTGTCTTGACCCTGAGGATAGGAAAATTCGACGTCAAAAGGATTTTGATAGACTCTGGAAGTTCCTCGGAGGTGATGTACTCCGAAACTTTAAAACGGATGGGTCTTGGCCCCAAAGACCTCACCAAAGTCAGGACACCCCTCATCGGATTCAACGGCTCGTTCGCCCTGCCCGTGGGGAAAATCACATTGCCAGTTGTCACAGGTCCCTTTGTCATCGACACCGAGTTTGTCGTGATCGATACGGACTCTCCCTACAACGTGATTATGGGGCGAACATGGCTGCATGCGTTGGGAGCGGTGCACTCCACTTTCCACCAGAAATTAAAATTCGCCACGCCAGAAGGTATCATGGAGATCCGGGGGGACCAAGCGTCCGCGAAAAATTGTTTTTATTCAGCCGTTCGAGCCGGGGCGTTCAGCCAGGAGAAGGGGCGAGCACCGGAAGAGATTATGGAAAAATAGCAATCACAGTCCGGGCGTCCAGGAATGGATGACCCCCGGATAGACCCAACTGAGCGGTCGGTAGAAGACCTCCGGAAGGTGCCCTTGGTAGAGGGAGAAGAAGAGAGGTATTTCTTAGTTGGGACCTCGATGCCCACAGCCGAACAGGAGGAGATGATCGAGTTCCTAAGGGGAAATACAGACGTGTTCGCGTGGAACGAAATGGAAATGACGGGGGTAGACCCCGAGATAATCACACACAGGCTGCATGTTGACCCGTCGCACAAGCCAGTCAAACAGAGGCCACGACGCATGGCCCCGCATCACACCAGCGCGGTCAACGAGGAAATCGACAAACTCCTGAAGGCCGACGCCATTCGAGAGATACAGTTCCCAGAATGGCTGTCTAATACGGTGTGCGCAAAGAAGAAAGGGGGGAAATGGCGTGTCTGCGTAGACTTTACAGATCTAAACAAGGCATGTCCCAAGGACGACTACCCCCTGCCAAAGGTGGACCAGCTGGTAGATGCCACTGCCGGATATGAACGAATGGACTTCCTGGATGCCCGAGCAGGATATCATCAGATCCCTCTCTATCCCCCGGATCAGGAAAAGACGGCGTTTATCACTCCGAAGGGAGTTTACTGTTACAAAGTGATGCCGTTTGGACTAAAGAACGCCGGGGCAACATACCAAAGACTGATGAATCGGATGTTCAAAAAGCAGATCGGCAACACCATGGAGGTCTACATAGACGATATGCTGGTAAAGAGCAAACGGAGTTGTGATCATCTGACAGATTTGGCGGATACCTTCTCCACCCTCAGGGAGTATGGGCTGAAGCTGAATGCGGCAAAGTGCGTTTTCGGAGTGGAATCAGGTAAATTCCTCGGATACCTGGTTAGTCAACGAGGAATCGAAGCCAACCCAGATCAGATTCAAGCGATCCTGGACATCCGGAGCCCCCGCACTGTCCGAGAAGTCCAGAAACTCACAGGGATGCTGGCTGCACTTAACCGTTTCGTCTCACGCTCCTCGGACAAATGCAAACCCCTTTTCGGAGCAATCAAGAGTGCTGGGAAGAATATGTGGAGCCGGGGGTGCGAGGACGCCCTGGCTGGAATCAAGGAATACCTAAGGACTCTTCCAACCTTATCCGTCCCCATCCAGGGGGAGATGTTGTTCTTGTACCTGGCAGTATCTGAGTTTGCGGTAAGCGGGGTACTTATCCGTGAGCATGAGCACCGCCAGAAGCCGATTTATTATATAAGCAAGGCGCTCCTGGACGCAGAGACAAGATATCTACCCCTAGAGAAACTGGCTCTATCCCTGGTCACCACTGCAAGGAAACTGCGGCATTATTTCCAGGCGCACCCAATCACTGTCCTTACCGATCAGCCCTTGAAAGCGA